GCTCCTTGCTCGCACCCAGGAGCACCAGGGTCGGCCCCGCATGCTCAGCCACTCGCTGACCCATTTTCCCCCCAGGTGATGACAACCTCTGCAATGTTCCCCATGCTCTGCCCTGTTCCCCGGCCAAGCGCAGCAAGGAGAACCAGGGGCGCCGCTTGCTTTTTGGGGACCCCCCGGCCTCCCCTGAGAAGCCCAGCAGCCCGGTGCTGTCCCCACGGCGTGGGGGGCAGGAGACCCCCCGCAGCTCGGGGCCTGGCAGGCACCCTGCCCGCAGCCGGCTCTTCAGGCAGGAAGGTGAGTGCAGCCAAGGGGGGAAACAGAGTCCCAGTGGTGCCGTGGGCCCTTCTGAGCCTTCTCCCTCCCCCGCGCAGGTACCTGCTACCAGCAGGTGAAGCGGGTGCTGCACGCGGCCGTGCCTGAGCGCCTCCACGCCAGGGAGAAGGAGACCAGCACCATCCGGCAGTTCCTGCGGGAACACGTCTGCGGCCACCGGCCCGGCAGCCTCTACATCTCTGGAGCCCCCGGGACGGGGAAAACGGCCTGTCTGAGCCGTGTCCTGCTCGACTGCAAGGTGTGCCATGGCTGGGGGTCCAGGTAGCAGCTGAGGAGGGGGACCACACCCTCTGGGGGGAAAAGGTGTCTGTTTTGGGGTTGCTGTTGGAGCAGGGAAACGGGGGAGGGGAGCAGAGCCCTGTTGCGCTGCCAGTTCAGGGGAGGGGGCACCAGGTTGTGGCTGGTGTAATTGCTCCATTCCCTGCAGGATGAACTCTCTGGGAGCAAAACGATCGTCCTGAACTGCATGTCGCTGAGCAGCCCCCAGGGTGTCTTCCCTGCCCTGGGGCAGCAGCTGGGCCTGCCCGTGGTCACTGGCCGGGAGGGCCTGCGCAGGCTGGAGGCAAAGCTGACAGCCCAGGGGCCCATGGTGTGAGTTTCCACGCAGGGGGGTGGTGTGGGGGTCCCCCCTTGGCACCCCTGCTGTCCCTGCTCAGGGTGCTGCAAAGGGGCTAAGAGCAGAGCAGGATCTGATCCATGTTTCCCTCCCACAGCCTCCTAGTGCTGGATGAGCTGGACCAGCTGGAGAGCAAGGGGCAGGACGTGCTCTACACCCTCTTTGAGTGGCCCCAGCTGCCCAGGTCCAGGCTTGTCCTTGTTGGTGAGTTGGTGGCAGCGTGGCACTGCCCGCCCTTGTGACCCTTTCCTTTCTGGGGGGCTTCGGGGGGTTTGCCTTTGCACCCACCTGCTCCCCCATCAGAGCACAGCCTCATCCTTCCCCCTGCCTTGCCCACAGGCTTGGCCAACGCTCTGGACCTGACGGACCGCAGCCTGGCCCGGCTCAGTGCCCGCCCCGCCGGCAGCCCCCAGCTGCTGCACTTCCCGCCCTACACCAGGGAGCAGCTCACTGCCATCCTGCAGGAGCGGCTGGGACAGGTGGGGACATGGGGGGACATACTGGGGGTGAGGGTCTTTTCCCATGGGCGTGGCAGAGCTGACAGCCTGTGGTGCCTTGGTAGGTGGAGGGTGACCCCGTCCTGGATGCTGCTGCGCTCCAGTTCTGTGCCCGCAAGGTCTCCGCGGTCTCTGGTGACGCTCGCAAGGCCCTGGATGTCTGCAGGTCAGCACTGTCCCAACACCTGGCAATGTTGGGGCCCCTGTGAGCCCCACATGGCTCCCCGTGCTGGGGCAGCCACGTTGCCTGGCACTCAGGGTTGTCTCTCCCCAGACGTGCCGTGGAGGTGGTGGAGCTGGAGGTGAGGAGCCAGACCCTGCTCAAGCCACTGCCCAGCGGTGAGTAGCTGCTGCCAGAGCCAAAATCCCACAGGACCGGCCTCCTCTGGCTTCCTCTCTGCTGCCTCCCCTCCCCTTTCTTGCTCCCCCTTTTTTCGTTCCCCTGCAGCCCTGTCTGTCCCACAGGTGACTCCCCGGTGTCCCCCGTCCCCAGACGTGTGGGGCTCCCGCACATCTCCCGGGTCATCTCAGAGGTGTTTGGGGATCGGTTGGCGCTGGGGGGGCAGGGGGGCCGGGATGCCTTCCCCCTGCAGCAGAAAGTGCTGCTCTGCTCCCTGCTCCTGCTCGCCCGGCACCTGCACACCCGGGAGGTGACGCTGGGGAAGGTGAGTGGCAGTGGGACCCTCTTGGGGCTGGATCTGGGAAGCAAATGGATGTCCCTGGGGTCTCTCATAGGTGCTGTGCCACGGTGTAACCCCTGCCCTGTCTTCCCCAGCTCCATGACACCTACAGCCAGGTCTGCCGGCGGCAGCAGCTCCCCCCTGTTGACCAAGTGGAGTGTCTGTCCCTTGTCACCCTCCTGGAGTCCCGTGGTGTCCTTGAGCTGAAGAAAGCCAAAGAGGCCCGGCTGGCCAAGGTATGGTGGGGTCTGGCTGGGGGGCAGGATCCAGGACCACCCTGGGGTCTGGCAGCATGGTTCTGAGGACTCTCTCTCTCCCAGGTCTGCCTGAAGATGGAAGAGGCTGCAGTGGAGCATGCTCTGCAGGATGTGGTGCTGGTGGGCAGCATCCTGGCTCAGGGGCTGCCTTTCCCTCCCTGGAAGCCCCTCCCCACAGCCCCTTGCTGTGGGCTGGGCAGACACTGCTCTGGGTGGAATTGTGGTGCCTGGATGGTTCAGTCAGGCTGTGTTGGGAGCAGGGAGACGGGTCCTTGAGGATTCAGCTGCTGTTTGTTGAGTCCTGCCCTGGGTCTCTTGATCTGGGGCAGTTTTATTAATGTTATTACTAATATTATTATTTCTGTGTGGTGGGGGGTTGGCACCCACCTCAGCCCCTTTGCAGCAACAGGATGGTGGGTGCTCCTGGGGCCTGGCGATGCTCCCACGGTGTTTGCTCCTGGCTCGTTCGGAGTCTTCTGGGCCCCCCGAGCCCTCGGCTGCAGGAGCGAGGGTCCCAATGCCCCTAGAGGGGGCGCCCGGGGTACTTGGCTCTAGGCTGT